CTTGCTCTGGGTCCAGCAGCAGGGAGGGCAGAGAAGCAGTGTGAGGTGCAGAAGTGCCCCTGGAGATTCACTGTTGCTGAGATGTCAACTCTTTCTGCTGCTGAAAACTGGTGTTTTTTGGCCGCTCAGCATATCAGTACCTAAAAAGAAAGTGACATGTGCCCCAGTAGCAGCAAACCCCTGGCTGTTCCTGCACCACACACAACAAGTACTACTCTGCCCTCTGCACTGCTGGAGCCAGAGCTAGAGTCAGGCACCCTGAAATACAACCCCTTCATGGTTGTCCAGGAAGTGAGGGAGGCAGGTACAATTCCTTCCATTGCCTGAGGTAATACAAAGCCACTATTCCCATCTCCTACACAAATGACCTCACTACCAGGCCACAGGCTATTTTTGGTACTAAAACTCTCCATCCCTCCTGTCAAAGCTGCTCCACTGTGCATAAAAGAATTAAAGATTCATTGGGCCAGAGAAACAGAATTAAAGATTCATTGGGCCAGAGAGAGCATGCAAAAGCAGAATGAGCACAACTCTATCCTGGTCCCTGCTCCTAGGATTGTCTCTGCATTTTATCCGGTACATTTTATCATGTAAAATGCAAAAATAGTTTCCAGTGCAGAGAATGGAAGGCTCAATGAATCTCAAGTTTTTAAACTACACAGCAGCACAACTTTATCAGGAGGAGTAGCATTGTGAAACTTTTCAGGTTCACAGTTTTGGACTTGGGTGTCTAAATTCTACCTAAGTCCCAATTTAGGCATTCAAGTTCTTGTCTGGGCCTGGCACCTGCCTTGTCCCAAAGATACACTAAACTGTCTAGTAAGTATCTTGATCCAAACACCAAGCTGTTGGCTTTTGCAACTGTCTCAGCTCCTTAAGAAAATCAAGATGGAGCTCCCATTTATCAACCCTCATGTAATCTCCTATGAGCAGAACCAAGGGCAAATAGATGACAGAGGCAGCTTTCCTCAGTAAGGAGGAAGCCAGGAGCAATGTATTTAATCTTCTGAAGAGCTGCTCTCACCTGCGGCAGCATGAGGAGAATCTCTCTCGTTCCAGCAGACTTCTAAAATAGGACTGTGATTGCTAATAAGACTCACCTGGGCTCAGGCAGCATCATTTGGCACAACAAGACCCACACTGTATGTTCTTCAAACTGCTCAGCCCTCCTAGGCCTTTCAAAAAAAATGCTTCAGAGAAACCAAAGTGCCCTGGACCATGTTCTTACCATTCATAGATGCTAGGTTCGGAACAGACCTCAATGGATCATGGAGTCCGACACCCTGCCCATGGCAGGAAAAAGTGGGAAAAAGGGCTAGGGTCATGTGACCCCCAGCTAGGTGCTTATCCAGTCTCTTTTTGAAGACCCCCAAGGTAGGGGAGAGCACCACCTCCCTTGGAAGCCTGTTTCAAATTCTGGCAACTCTTTCCGTGAAGAAGTTCTGATATCTAGCCTAAATCTACTCTGTCAGCTTGTGACCATTGTTTCTGGTTATGCCAAGGGGTGCTCTGGTAAACAGAACATCTCCTATTCCCTGCTCCCCCCCACACACCCGCAGTGAGTTTGTATACTGCCACAAAATCCGCCCTCAGCCTTCTCTTGCAGAGGCTGAAAAGGTCCATCAGCCTTTCCTCATAGGGCCTTCCCTGCAGGCCTCTAACCATACGAGTGGTCCTTCTCTGGACCCTCTCAAGGTTGTCCACAGTCCTCTTGAATTGCGGTGCCCAGAATTGGATGCAGTACTCGGGCTGTGGCCTGACTAGTGCCGCATAGAGGGGAAGCATCACCTCCCTGGACCTGTTTGTGATGCACCTACTAATGCATGACAAAGTGCAGTTAGCTCTGCTAATTACTTCATCACATGGGTGACTCATATTCTTCTTGGAGTTGACAGTGACTCCCAGATCTGTTTCTGCCACTGAGTTGCTGAGAAGGTCATCCCCCAGTCTATAGGTGTGCTGGTGATTCCCTCTCCCTAGGTGCAGCACCTTGCACTTGTCCTTGTTAAACTGCATCCTATTGTTCTCTGCCCACTTCTCTAATCTGTCCAGGTCCACCTAGATTCGGTTCTTCCCATCAGTGTGTTTACTTCGCCCCATACTTTGGTGTCATCTGTGAATTTGAAGAGTGCTTTCCATGCCTTCATCGAGGTCACTGATAAAGCTATTGAACAGCACCAGCTCAAGGACCGAGTCTTGGGGGACCCCACTGCCCACATCTTTCCAGGTTGATATCAACCCATCCACCACCGCTCTCCGAGTATGATCCATAAGCCAATTTGCCACCCACATGACTGTGTAATAGTCTATAGCACAGCCGTTCAATTTGTTTATGAGAATAGGATGGGATACCGTGTCAAATGCCTTCTTAAAGTCCAAGTAGATGACATCTACCTTGACTCCTGCATCTAAGCATTTAGTGACCTGGTCATAGAAAGAAACAAGGTTAGTCAGGCAGGATCTACCTGCTATGAACCCGTGCTGGTTGCCCTTCAGCATTGCATTACCCACTGGATTTTTACAAATGTGATCCTTCATAATTTTTTCAAGAGTTTTCCCAAAGATAGATTGGTTAGTCTCACTTCTATAGTTACCCAGTTCCTCCCCTTCTTGAAAATAGGGACCACATTGGCCCTTTTCCGGTCCTCTGGGACCTCACCCGAGCACCACGAGTGTTCAAACAGTCGTGCCAGTGGCTCTGCTATGACACTGGCTAATTCTTTCAGCACCCTTGGATGGAGCTCATCCAGTCCTGCTGACTTAAATGCATCCTAGCAAAGAGACACTTGGAGGGGCTGGTCAGCACTGACAGTTGGTGGACTGGTGTTCCTCCTGCTTCTGTCAGTAATGCATTTGGGAGATGCACTCCATTAATCTGAAGTCACCCTGATCTCAAGTCAAGACAGTAAGTGAGGGCAGAATTTGGCTCAGTAAGCAAGTCTATCATTAGTAGAATAATCTGGTCAACAAAATACCTGCTAATAGCCATGTGTGTACACGTGCCTGAAAAGAGCACCCATTGGTTGCAAACAGCTCTGCATACACATAATTTGAACAAGGGCACTACATTTTCTAATTAAACTATAGTCTTTTATCTGGAAATTGTGAATTATTAACTAATCCAGGATCCCCCAACAAGGAAACTGCAATTTATAGAGCTGCATTACATAGCTACACAACAAATTGTATAGCAACTCTATGTTAAGAATTTTGGACTAACAGCCCACAGTCAGAGGGGTTCTTTACCTTTCTGATTCAGGCAAATCTGTGCCTTGGGTCAGGAATCTCATGTTTTCATATTCCTTTGGGCTCTTCAGCTTTGTTTCCCATGTCAAGAGTCTCACTGCACTTTGTGATGACAGACTCCAAGGTATTTAAATGGTCACTGTCTACAGCTGGAGATGCACGTCCCGTAGTGAATCAAAATGGGATAGTTTGGGTAGTGTGGATAGCCCAGGGGATTGGCCTTTGGGTACAGTTTCTCATCTATAGGCCACTTGGTTTGAACCTGCACCAGGCCAAGAGTAACTAGAAATCACTGTAGTCTGGTGGCTGCTTATGTGAAATAAGGGCATAGGGGGCATGAAGGAGATCAGAACAGTGTTCAGTCTACAAGGGAAGGAATGAGGCATATTGACTAAGAAGGGACATGAAGCTGTTTTCAGCTGCTGTCTGTGCTGTGGATAAAATATTCAGCTTGGGCTTCACAAGCTTTTAATCTGGTATTTTTCACAAACAAATACCTAAACATTAAGAATATGAGTGACCCATCCTATGCTCTCAGCAATCACATCTCCTGCCCTGAAGGTGACCAGACATTTACAGTTTATGAATCAGTATCAGCTGCCAACACATTTTTTTGGTGTCCAGTATTCTCTGACAGTAGCACAAAAGAGTTTGATTAGGCCTCTTTGTACACACTAATCTGCACCTTTCCTTTCTTTCTGTGTCAGCTTCACAGATGTAGCTGTACAAGATTTGATCACATATTGCCACACAGTTTCAGAGAAAGAGGAAAAAACACCACATCCTGCATCTTTGTGTAGCACAGAAACACTTGGGCAAAGAGGGAATTATCTTTGAGTGCAGCCAATAATCAGCCTACTCTTGAAATCACAAGGAGTCATAGCCTTGATAATACCTACCCTCATTAAAAGTATTTATGTTACTGTAGGGGTTTTTTCCTAGTCATAACACTAGTGCATTACCCTCAGATGACAGATGATGAAACTCTGTACCCAAGATTAGGATCCAGCCTGCTGCTCTCCCTAAAAGTACAGCTGCACAGGCAGTTGAGTAATATACAAGTTTAATCCCTTATTGAAATGTAGTATGCTCTTTGTTTTAATTCATTTTAATTAACTTCCCTTGGTGCCAATGTTTGATTCACAGTATTGTTAAGACAGTCTCAAAGAGTAATGCCCCAAAGTTTATCAGTATGGGGACTAGTGGGAAGAGAATAATTACTGATGATGTCTGCAAGCACTGGCTCTTTGGTAAGAAGAGTTTTATTCCAGCTACAATTCCCTCTGGATTCCATGTGAGAAGAGACCACACATGGACAACATGGGTTCATGAATCACTGCATCCAGGCTCTTAAACTGCTACAGCAAGGTCTGAATACATATGAATTTTGGTATATAACCATTTGTAAAACCATAGAATGCACCTGTAATACCCACTTTGGGTCCAAAGCTAATACCCATAGCCTTTGAGATTAAAGAGGAAAACAACAGGCAGCCTAACAACTCTTCAATTAAGTCATTAGCTGCTCTTTCACAGGTGCTCCCTCTCTCCCTGTGTGGGCCTTGCACATGGGCAGTGTTGCCTACCTAGGCTTGCTGCTCCCACCTCAAAGGGCCCTGAGAACCAGCAGAAGCTGTGTCCAAGCTGCAGTGTTATCAGTTAACTGTTTAACCAATATAATGAGAGGACGTTAAATGGATAATTTCTTTAAAATTATATTTAACATCCCTTCTCTCCCCTCCCTCCCCCCGCAGCCAGCCTGCCTGCAGCTGCCCAGCAGTGCTCCACGTGACCCCAGTAAAGTGAGCTCATCTGACCCCGGTAAGGTGAGCATCCAGGCATTTCTTGAACATACCCAGAGTAGGTGCTTGCACCACTTGGGGTGGGGGTGGAGTCTATTCCAGGCTCTGAAGACTCCAATGGTAAAGTTTTTCCTTTTGTCCAGCCTGAAACAGTCTTCCAGCAGTTTGTGACTGTTAGACCTCGTCTTCCCTTGGGGTGCCCTGGTGAACAGATGTTCTCCCAGATCCTGATGCACACCCCTCATATACTTATAGGCTGCCACCAAGTCCCCCCTGAGCCTTCGCTTCTCCAGGCTGAAGAGTCCCATGCCTCTCAGCCTCTGCTCATAAAGCCTGCTCTCATGACTTCTAATCTTTAGGGCTGTGCAAAACAGCACCATTTTGTTTAGACTTCCATTTCACCAGGATAGTGTTTCGTTTAGAGTTTCGTTTGGTTTCGAAACCGCTGTTCTGTTTTATTTCGTTGAAACTTCTGCCGTTTCACCCATAGGCTATAATGGGGAAGCATGAAACAGACTATAATTTTGTCATTTCTTGCCTGATTCAGATGAAGTTTGCATGGGTAGTGGCGGGCTTCATGGCCTCGGAAGGGGCTAAGTTCCAGGAGGTAGGTGCAGGGGTTTTTAGGAAACTGCACCTCAAAGTGTTGAAAGCAAAACTTGTGTCACATGTGTTAAGGCGCAGCAGGGTGAAAACTGCAGGCATGGTAGCCCCTTCCGAGGCCATGAAGCCTGCACAGTTTCAAGGAGATAGGTGTGGGGGTTTCTAGGAAACTGCACAGAGCAAAACTTGTGTCACTTGTAAGTGTGAAGGCACAGAGGAAGCTCATTTCAAATAATGCATTTTATTCTGTTTTTCCATCCCTTCCTCAGAGCACTAGGATTGGAAGAGACCTCAGGGAAGGATCCCAGTTACTGGCCAGCTACACAGTCAATGTCAGAGCAGTCCTTCCTCCCCACGCTCTCCTTAGTTTCTCTTTAGCTGCAAGCAAGTCCAGCTTCAAAACATTTCGACTGCCCTCGTTTCGTTTCAAGACTATTTTGAAGCCTTTCATTTTGTTTCAATTTTGCCGTTTCAAAATTTGCCAGGAAGCGGAAAGGTTTTTTCATGAGCTTGAAAAATAAGTACAGATTTAATGAGGCTGAAAGATTAAGAATAAATATTCCAGAGGGTTATGGAAGCTGTAGAAGACTGGCAGCCAGCATGCTAGGACAAATAGAAACTGAGTGCCGTGTGTGTGGTGTGGGAAGTTGAAGGAGACCAGCTCTGTGATGCAGCTTGTTGTAAATTCATGGAGAAATGTAAAAAGAGTGGTGCATCTGGCCATGATGACAGAGGAGGAACTCACACATCACATGGGGACTGTGAGAAGGGACTGAGAGAAGGCCAAGGTTGCGAATGTGCAGGGAGTGGGGTTTATAGAAAGCCACAGGGTCTGAGTGAGCTTGAATTCAAGAGTGGAGGGTCTCAGCTCCAGATAACCTTCCTTGGATTATTCAAACATTGAGCGGGTCGGACTGTAGGACATGGCTCCTCTTTGACTGCCTGGCACTTTGGAAAATTTCTCCCGAGAAGTCTTCCCTGGTGTGACAGCTGAAATTATGTCTGTGTGATACAGGTGCTTGCTGAAGGCCCTATGAAGATTAGATCAAGTGTTTTTTCTATATTTGTTTAGATATTAAGTTGTATGTTGTTGCTAAGAGCCTAATTAAAGTTTAAAATGTAGTGAGGCCTTGTATAAAAGTAAGGCCTAGTAAATTTAGCAAAGCCTTGAAGTAGTAAGGCCCTGTGGCATAGTTAAAATAACCTTATCAAAGGAATGCAAGGCTTGTACTGCTATTGGTCAGTCTAAGGACAGTTGAAGTAAAAGGAATCTGAGTGGTTGTACATTATCAGAACCACTCAGAAGCTTTAAATTGGCTGGAATATCTGGAAACCGTTCAGAAGGAAGATACAGCTCTGTAAAAAGGATTAGTTAGCTGTTGCCTGGATCAATGGGCCTGTGGACCTCATGGAGCCCAAGAACTGCATTCCAGGGTCCTTCCCAGTACCTCTTTGGATAGTGCTGTTCAGGGATGCCTGACTTCGCTGAACTTTGTGGAAAGAGAAGCTTGCTGTGTATCAGGCATCAGAGGGGACTGCCGATAAGTTACCGACGCAAATTGCTTTTGTCTGTCATTGTTTGTCTTGTTACTACACGTAGTTGTGTTTTTGTTAAGTCAATAAATCTTTCTTACCTTTCTACCCCCAACCATGCTCTCAATCCCAAACCCTCTGCAGGTGGCTGGGACACCTGGGATCCTCAGTGTTTAAAAAAAGGGGCACTGACTGTAATAGCTACTAATAATATATGCTTGAGTAGCAGCTTTCCTCAGCCAATTAATTGCACCTAACACTGTGTTTTGAATAAAAAGGAAAGAGAAAAACAATGTGGAAGAAACTGTGAGTAAGTCACATTGGTTTGCCTGGTTTATACGCAATTCCCACTAATGCTGCTTTCTTTAGTGTTACTTAAAAGAATCTGCTCTTAAAAGAATTCTCAACCTAGTCTGTGTAACTTTACTTACCCAGATGCAAATCAGGAATAAGTGAGAATCAGGCCTAGAGAATTTAAAACATATCATTAGAACTCAAGAGTCCTCTGCTCTAACACTTGAGTCTCTTGGGACATGCAAGGTGTCTGGGTCTCTGCAGCTTAAAAAGATTTTGTGCTCTCTCATGGCTCACTGAACTCTTTATGAGCAGCAGGATAGTAACGGTCGATCCTCCTGTCAGGCAACACCAATGGCCTTAACATGTTAGATGATTATCAAGGCTTACATGAAGCCAAATATCATTCTTCCATGCAATAAGTTTCATTACAAATCACTCAGGATCCAGAGAATATAGTCTTCTTCTGCTTCCCATAATCTAGGGCGATTTTTTTGCACAGGATCATTAGTGCATGCTCTAGCCAGGACTCCTCTTCAAGAAATCTCAGTGTAACCCCCGAATCAACCAGGAAATGTTCTCTTGCAATTGAATCCTGGAAGATGGTGCACATAGACAGCCTAATCCTGGACTGGAACTGAAACCCAAGTCTCCTGCTGGCAGTCAGCTGCATTCCAGCCAGCAGTATGGGGCCAACCCCAGAAACAGAGCCACACTCAAATCTCTAGAAGGTTCTGCTGAAAGTACACATGAGATCCCTGGGCCTATCTGCAATATCCTTGTATTCGAATAATCTTGTGACCAAATGAGCAATTGAGGCAAAGTCTGCTGAGGACGGTAACCAAACAAAGGACTTCTGGAGACTGCAATAGCAGCAAGACTGGATATGAAAGTTTTCCCTACAAAGTACAGCAAGCTGTAATTCAAGCACAACCTCTAATTGGGGACAGATGCCTCTCCAGCTGTTGATCTGTTCCCTCCGTTGTTGTTTTTAAGCACATCAACAATCGTAAAAATAATTCAAGTTCCATACGGCTTAAGGGGGGGCCTTTCAAAACGGATTCCATCTGTCCGATCAACAACAAGACCGAGACAAGTTTGAGCATCACACAGTAGATGATGCACTGTACTCACTTCCATTGCCTTGGTTTAGGACTAACATGGGTAGGTGCTGTTTGTAACATCACGACTCTTCAAGGGCTGGCTTTGAGGTCTGCTAGGATTCCTGTGAACAAGCATACAAACCAATGTACCTCCTGAGGAGTCAGGAACATGAGTCTGAAACAATGGACCCAGGAGGTCCCTTATCTCAAGAACCACATCATATAAACCTTTCCATACATTTATCACTCTTATTCCTCACTCCCCAACATGACTGTTAAGGGATTGCTTTGAAGCATGACCTGGCTTAAGAGAAATGTGTGTCACTTGATTTTAAGGTTCATTACCAACAGGTATTTTAGGATCCCCAACAACCAATTGCCTTAGCAACTATTATGTGCCCCTATTCTCTGTATTAACAAAGAGGTTTAAGTTTTATTCCTATTGGGTGTGGGGTTTTGCCATAAAGTATTCAGGATTGACATCTTTCTCAGTCACTGCGTCAGTTCCTGGAGTTTGTTCCCAACACAAGGTCGCACTTTCAAATTAGTCAAGAACTACACCTGGTGCAGAATGTGGCTGTCTGCGAGTTAAGCTGTGCTGTGTAGAGGACTGCCTGCCACAAGTACTTTGGGATTTGCAGGAGCCGCCCAATGATTTGAGTGACTTGCTCCTTTCCCAGACTATTTTGATAAAAAAGGCAGGCATGATCTGGGACAGGCTAAGGGGCAGAAAAGACCAGGTTGGAAGGTCTGGACTAGGGCTGCAGACATGCTATGGGATGTTTATGTCCTTATGGAGGACGACATGACTTGGATTCCCACCCAGACAGCCTATTAGGACAGTAGCTTGTATACAAATGCTCATCTTGCATCCAACATTTGAGAGAACAGCAAAATCCAGCAGAGTAAATAGATTCCAAGTTCCCCCACAAATGTTTTTATAGTGAATATTTCCTCCAAGTTACACTCCAAAACAGCTGAACACTCCAAGCAATGAGGAGCTCTTGGTGCTGGCTAGTTAGTGATAATACCACATCGCTAGGGTTTGCTGAGATACCCGGCTTGTGCCGGAGGGTTCCTTTGCTCTCCTTTATTGGCCTAATCTCCCAGGAAAAGCTGTTTGCAGAATCAGTTGATCCAGCTGATCTCCAAGAGATAAACATCTCCATCCTCTGGCAACCATGCTTGTTTCTCCCAGAGCCCATGTAACATTCTTTCCTGTATCCCACTTACATGATGTCAGCTAGCAATGCATCCTGGCTCTTGTAGCCAGGACCACATCCAGAAAGCCATTTTGGTTCTAAAGTACAATGCTTTTGATGTCTGTTTGCTCATTAGGGGATAAAACAGTCCACAGAGAAGGGCTATTATTTTTAAAGGCACAAACATGACCCCATGCTCCTGTTGTGTTTTGCTGTACTCAGGTTTTTACTGAGAATGCTCCTCCCCCATCACCACATAATCCACACAATAAGCGAGGCCTTTGAAAATGCTCTGTTCTGTGTCAACTGCAATGCAGAAGGCACACTAGCATGGGCCTGCTTTTCTGAGCACAGGACTGCATAAGCTAGCTCCAACAAAGAGGAAAATTTTTGTGGCTGAAGCAGTGAAGGTAGACCCAGGAGCTCTTGGGTTCATTCCT